GGTTCACCGATGACGACCATCCGCCGTGGGTCGGCAGCGGCACCGCGTGGATGAAGGAGGGGGTGGGCGCGCAGGCGGAGCAGCGGCACCTGTTCGCCGCGTCCAGGCGCGACCCGGTGGCCGTGAAAGAGCGGAAGGAGTACATTGACGGCATCGAGCGGCACCACACGCGACGCGGCAAGGAGGACACGGCGGGCGAGAGCTGCGAGCTGAAGGACGCCGCCGCCACGGACGTGGACTGTTTGCCAAGAGTTGCCGACACTTTCGATAATGCGCAGCGGACGCCGTCGGTCTTCTCGCACGCCTCCTCGAATGGGCCCATCAAGGCGCTGGGCACGCGGCACATGGAGACAATCACCACGAAACCAGAGGTGCAGCAGCACCTCACTCTGTACAGAAGCGGCGAGGCGTCGACACCGCGCGTGAAGAGGACTGTCACTCCTTTTGAAAACATGACACTTCCGGAGGTAACGGCCCGCTTGGTGCGTATGCAGAAGAAACTGCGGGCGTGAGCATACCGTCATGTGTAGCGGCAAACAATGTGTGTGTATGTGTGCGTCAGAAAGAAAATGCGCTGAGCTATGTAGATAATATCTCCTGGCACGACCCTAGGCGATGATGAGGGGGAATGACGCAATGTGCAATGGTATCAAGAAGTGTACTGTGAGTGCGACTGGGGTGGGCGCCGCTGGGCGTATCCCATTGGTGCCTTGGTGTCATTTTTTTTTGTTGTTTGGTTCTTTGTGCTTCCATTCGTTTCATGGCACGGTTGTTCTTGCTCTTGTTGTTGTTGTTGCTGAGAGGTGATTTTTTTCTCGTGAAGGCAAGTTCTCGTGCACGCCGAAGCTTTGACGAAGAATGACGCAGCTCCACTCGATTGCCAGTCTCGACTACGGAGACGGGCGCACATGCGTCTGCCGCATCTGCGAGTGCGGCAAGCACAAGTGTAAGGAAGTGAAGCTTCCCTTCTTTGGTGAGACGACGTACCGCGACGAGTACGTACCGAAGAGTACTGAGCGTGACGCGCTGCGCAAGAAGCGGGCCTCTGTGTTCCCCACCAAGGCGGATCCAGGGCACTTCAAGACGACGAAGCAGGAGGCGTGGGAGGTGCTCGAGGGCAAAGCAGTGTGCCCCGCCGAGTCCTTCAAGCCGCGCACGGCGCTCGGCGACCCGCTACCCTTCACCGGCACTACAACGCACCGAAACGACTTCCCAGGCCACATGCCGGACCATGAGCGGGCCCGTCACAAGCAGGAGCCGCTGCCAAAGCTGAAGGGGTTGTATGAGACGACCAACGGCGCGATGCAGGAGCCCATCAACAAATGCCTTGACACGGGGGCCCTGCCGAAGCCGCCGAAGTCTTTCCGAGGCGATGAATCACTTGGCCGGTCGGTGCCGTTCGATGGCATCGCGAGTTATACCGCCGACTACCCGCCTAAGCAGCCGCTCTTCGCGCCGCAAGCCCGAAAGGCGCAGGAGCGCGCCGGCCTCCCAGACACACGGGACTTTGAGACGACGCACTCAGACTCGTACAAGGTGCCGCCGCACCGGCTGCGGCACATCTGCCCGTCTGCGATGGTGACGGAGCGCGCCCCGTCGGTGGACGGCCACATCAAGCTGTCTGTGTACAACATCCCATCAGGCGATATATTGGATTAGAATATGTGTGTACATGAGCAAGGGGCAGGGAGAGAGAGGATTTGTGGGGGAAGGAATATTCACTGCCCATCTTGCCTCCTTTGTTTGATTGTTTGTTTGTTTTTCCCAACCTCATTTC